AAGAAAAGAAGAATGAAGTTTAGAATTTTGCTTTACCGGATATGACTGACCTGAATAGTCATGTCTCCAGCATACACACGATAATTTTAAAGAGGCCTTTTTATATACTGTCTTTGTCTGAAAGGCTTATTGCACGAAACTTGGAATAAAGTTATTGCAAAAAACATTAAAGTTGCTGGACATGTTCCCACCTGAGGTACGAAAAGCTGCTTGCCTTGTTCCATTGATACCTCGACTATTCGATCGGTTTCAATTTCACCACTTGTATGTAGATATACAGAGACTCGTTGCGCATCTATGAACCACGCTGATGACAGTACCTAAAGGTAAAAAAAAACTTGGGATACAGATGTAGATCCGGTGATAGAAGGGATTACTGTTCGAACGAAGCTATTGATTTGACAAAAATCAGTGAACACAACAGCGTATATGTGTGATGACCAGAGAGCTGTTCAGTATCCGCCTAAATTTCACATTCTCATATCGGCTGTCTGTTGGCCGATTAGTTAGGTTGTTCAGCATTTAATCCTCTGACGAGTCTCTCAGATCTGGTACGTGTTGATGTAATTCAGAGCCACAGTTTTACGCCTGGCATCCAGATCTACCAAACTCAGCGATATATAGCAAAATTTCGTTAGGACTATTTAGCGAACGTTCAAGATATTCGGATTATAGCACCATGCGCTCAAAAACTTGTATTATAAAACCTTTTCGGCCACAATGGCGCTTTGTCGTTTCACTTCCTCTGATGGTATCTTGGCTAAAACTGCGCCAATTTCCTGGCGAAGCTGTTTCTTTTGCAAGGATTTTGAATCACTCAGCCATGACTTTGTAACTGATGACATCTGAAATTATCCGATGAACTAAATATTCCACATAATGAATCGGAACGGTGAAAAATAATTGGGAAGCTAAACTACCTTGACCTTCAAAGATCGATTGGACACTAGCATCTGCAGGCAGTTGAAAGCTACCGCACAATGCTTACTCCAATCAATTGCTGAAAGAATCCTCGCTATACTGATTGTCACCATGAGTCACTGTATGATTTTCGTAGTAGTTTTCTTCTTTTCAGAAACTATATTTCCATTATCCTACCATAAGATATTGATTTGATAGTTACATTACAAATTTTTCTCGTCACCGTTGCCGAATTAAAACATATGATTCATGAAAAAGGAATACGATCGATCAGACCTTTTCCATCACAACTATTCAGTGATAACACACAATTTTTGTGAAAACTTTACTGTTAACAATTGAAACAATCAGACAATGTGTTAATACACATATATAAAATAGTGAATATACATGAGAAGAAGCGATAAGCAGACGGAAAGTAAAGAAAAACAGTGTTCTCTTCTATTGCAAAGTTAATAAACCCGTTTTAGTACTTTACTCTTCAACCATGTCACAAGAATACTCTCAGCGAAAATATTTACACAACTCGAAGATACATACTCAAAAAAGGCATTTCATTTCCGTTAATTCTGAGAAAGTAGCAGTTTCAAAGAAGGTCACTTCAAAAAAATCAGAGACTAACATGAAAATTCTGGAAGAGTTATCATAATAATTTCTATTAGTGTGGTCTATTCACTGTTAAATATCATTACAAAACATTTCTTTATACAATTTGCAAACGTCAATATGTCAAAGTATCGAAATGTTACTCCGTATTCAGTCTAAGCAATGATTTTAAAGAAATAAACCTCAAACTAGTAAATCCTGCTGACAAACTGAATTGAGCAAAGTGAGATGGGTTAAAATTCCTAAACTGACGATCAGTGGGGTTAGAAAGATTCAACACTGGGAAGCAAATGAAAAATAACATGCTGCCAGAAAGTTATATAGGAAGATAAGACCTGCTTGGTATTCAAGTCTATCGGTGACAAATTATGACGCACTGGGCAAGTTTTGATGAGCCGATAATAAGTTGTTAAAACATTTATTGTACTATGTTCTCAATCTACTTCGCGGAATTAATAAATCTTACCAAAGTGTTCTTCAATAACATGCTCGGAAGTGATGATAAGTTGCACAAGTACCGCATTTCACTGAATTTTGCTGCACTCAGATCGCTGCGTATTTTCATTCATTACTGGTGACACAGAAATGTATACAACATGTTACTTCCCCACCCAATATAACTTACATATGTTATAGGAAAAGCTCTCTTTAACTACGAAATCACAGTGATAGTGCTATTCTGTGAATCGTAATTGTACAAAGAATGTATTGAAATAAACTGATCACTTTTGATATGTTTTATTATGAAAATACTTGAGAGTTATAATAGTGACTAGAAATTGGAAAACAATAAACAGTATGTCAAAAGAACCTGTTGCACAATGCATGCGATGCCAGGTCATCGATAATTCTTAACCATAACCAAATTTTTATAACAGGTATTCTTTCATTTCTAATGAATTATATGATGTTGCACACGAGAAAAATGGAAACTCATGGATTACAGAAGATTTCTGTGCAAGAAGGGTCAGTCGTATTCAATAGAAATAGTATGTATAGCAGGCTCCCCATATTATCACGTTTCTGCAAATTCAAGTTTTACTTATAATTTGAGTGTAGAGATCTGTTCTTTCCTGACAATTGAAGCCTGATACTTCGACATTGCGCTGGATTGACTGCTGTAACAAGTTCACAAAATATAATGATTTCACATTAAATACGAGCTATACTAGCCATTGCACATTGTGGGTAATGTAATCGTACCGCGTATAAATAGGTCTACTTTTCAGGTTACATGAGAAATTGGATCCGCATGAAAGAAGAATTCTGTAAGCTGCTAGTTGTTGATATTGTGAGAGAAGTTATGCCTGAATACAAACGTTGAATAAAAGGTCTTCTACACTAGTGAAACTTGAGATTTTACATACTGCCTCCAAAGTCGTGTTGCGAACTTTTGCCAGATGTGTAGATCAAGCAAATCATGCAAATCGCGTGGATCAGAGCCAAAGCGCTTGTACTCGAAAGTGAGAATATACAATTTCATTAATTGCTCTGTAGCATTCTCGCTAAGTAGCTGTCACATCGTTATCGTTTTGGTAGTTTAGCCGCTTACGAGTATTCGCTTATCTTCATCATCTTACTATCGATTTGAGTTTATTACTCCTTTGCAACCACAATTTGCTATGTTGTTTGCGAATATTCGAGAGCTCACCTTTCAGCGCCGTCATGTCAAGACAAAAGATTGGAAGCTTTAGGAGAAGAAGACTGGGAAGCCTTTGAAGATGAAGAATTGGAAACCATGCTCAAGGCTTGGCTGTAAGCGCGGACGAGGGCACTGGTAATGAATCAGTCGCGAGCATAGACAAAAACATGCCCACTCCACAAGGTTCTGAGGATGACGATGACGGAACTGACGATGAACAAAGAGCTCTCTTGAATGTTGACATTGTAGCTGTGATTAGACTACCAATGTGCAGCCACCCACCGCTACCCTTTGATAACCCAGCGGCAGGTGTCCAACGCAGTATTGTTACAGTGTGCCGGCAACCAGCTGATTTTAACGAACTGCTCATGATCGATCCTTGGGAGTTGATTGTAGAGCAGACAAATATCTATGGCACTCAGAAGAACGCCGACTGGGAGGATACCACTGTGGAAGAAATGACGACATTCATAGCTTTGTGTATGCACATGAGTGTTGTGAAGCTACCACACCTGAAAAATTATTGGAGCAGTCATCCGTCTTTTAAGAACCCGTTCTTAGGAGTGGATTTCTTGCCTAGACGTTGATTTCTGAAGATTTTGAGAAATTTGCATTTGCCAACTCTAAGTGGAATGGAAAAGACAGACTACACAAGATCAAAAAGCTTTCAGAAAACATGTCAATAGGAATTACCAAGTTGCATATAGACCTAGGAAGAATGTATGCATCGACAAATCAATGGTACCCTTCAAAGAAAGAATCGTTTTTCGACAATACCTTCCCAGAAAGAGGCATAGATACGGGATAAAACTATTCAAACTGTGTGGTGTAGAGGATAAGTGTACATCACGATCCCATGCGCAGGTGCAGGCACAACGCCCAAGCGGGAGGGACGAATTCCAGCCAGTATTGTGGTGAACCTAATGGAAGTCTTGCTAGATGAGAGCCAACTCGTCTACACTAACAAATGGTACACTAGTCTTGAACTTGCCGAGGCCCTGTTCCAGAAGAAAAAGCACTTGGTCGAGACGTGTAGAAAGGATAGGCGAGGATTACCTAGGGAATTTATGCAGTACCCACTGGAGAAGGGGCAGGCAATGGCCATAGAGAATAAGAAAGGAGTGATGATACTTAGGCGTAATGACAAGAGAGGTGTAGTGAGGATTTTTACCGCTCACAGTCCCACAATCAATCCAACGACGACGAAATAAGAGGTCGTGGAGAGTTACAACAAGCACAAGTTGCTCGTCGATTTCACCGAGCAAATGGCTGCCTATTGCTCATGCACAAGGAAGACATGTAAATGGTGAGTGAATTTTGCTACGGTATCGCTTCGTAATATCTAATTTCACAGTTCAAGTACATCCGCCTGTTCTAAATAGTTACAAGATCACGCTGCGTCACAGCCTACACCCGGCCGTATTCTCAAAGTCACTTTGCCACGTCGTGGACGTTGTATTGGAAGTTATAGGAAATTGGCAATACGCGTAAATACGCTGCTTATGCTCGAAACAAAACTAAAAGAGTAAGCATGAGGTGCAGTCGACGTAAGCAATACATTTGTTTACCTTGTTTCAATACTGCTCATTGCAAATGTGTTGTTAGGCGTTTTGGTGTTCGATATGATGTATAATTTAGGTCGAAAAATCATGTCGTATATACTGAAGACAATCAGTCTGAATTCTTATTATTTTGACTGCCACTTGCAGTGGTATGATGGTACAGTATACCCAATATGTGGAGTGCTGTGCAAAAACGTTTGCGTCAGCCGGGATTCAAACCCAGATCTCACTCTTTCCAGGAACGTATGCTAATCCCGGCCGACGCACCAGCGTTGGTAGTGCAACGGTTAGCATAAGCTCCCGGAAAGAGTGAGATCTGGGTTCGAATCCCGGCTGACGCAAACGTTTTTGCACAGCACTCCACGTATTGGGAATACTGAAGACAATTATGAACCGAAAATGATTATCTCAGGATTTGATGTTTATTGTTAAAGAACGCATAATTTGTTGAATGTAACAAGCAAAATTCTATGCAACGCGGGCAAATGTTGAGAGGTACTGATATTTAGGGTGAATAAACTGCTGAAGATCGATGCTTGCTCTATAAATAATTGTTTGCTGAATAAATGTTTCAAACAAAAGATCAACAACATCAGAAAAAGGCTTGAAAGGATTGGGTGAGGATTGTGCAATTTCTCCAGAGAAGTACTCTACAAATTGATGATTGTGGGCTTTATGAAAGCTTATTCCACCTGGGTGCTAAAAGCTACACCACATAAGCTTCTTGAAAAAGTCGTAAATCGAATGAAAAATTTAGTTTCAGTTTTACACTGTTGCATATCGTCAAAAGATAAGAAGTAAAAAATGGAGATGCGTGTTTTCCCCTTGATGTCACCTTGGTATTGAAAAGTGAGAAAGACTTTTAGAAAAAGCCATTAGTGACATATCATTCTTTAGGATCTTAAATTGTCTCTAGGATACGAATTTCACTATGCAATTACCAAAACACCCATTGCTGAGTTCAAGAGACTGGGATTTTCTAGATGTTCACTCAGAGCGTAAAATGTAATCTTAATTCATTTGTTTCGGGCACTAAACAATCAGTCCAAAAATCTATGCTTTTTGAACTATCGAACGATTATCAAAACTCTACTGTAAGGCCAGGTATGAACGATAGCGAAGTACGCAAAGCACTCTGGAAGAGAAACGCAGTTTTTGTTCACTGTATTCACGGCGCTAAAAACGTACATTTGCTACTAAATTCAAAAACCAAGTATATATTTAGAATCTCATTTCTCAAACTATCGATTCATTACTTAAACTTTGGCGAAAAACCTTTGCTCTGTGAAAAGACCGTGTGAAAACGAGTGCAAATCACAATGTACACTACGGAAAAAAAAACCCAATTTTCTCTTCGTTGCTACAGCTCAACGGAAAAACATTTCCAAATGTCAGGCATAACATTAGAACTGTACTTTTTTCAGCTATCGAACGGCTATTCAAAGTCTAACGAGAAGCCTACAATCGACGAGAGAATCACAAAAATTCGCGTGTACCATGAGTGGTACACGTGGTTTCGAAGGGATTAAAAGAGTGTGGTGTGGGAAATATTACGCACAAGCAGAGAGAGCTCGTCAAAATTCTCAAAGAGTAGTACGCGAAGCAGTCATCTTACTACCATCACGTCGTCTCATTCGAAGAGCAATAAATCTCTTAATCCGTCTTAAACTGGACGACAGCCAGTTACAGAAGAGTCATACTGTGGCGAAAAGAGAGCAACAAATACTGCTATGCTATTCACATATTCAAAATAACGGCAAAACAAGAGACATGGAAGATATTCGTCAGAAGTCTTAAATATAACCTCTGACGTCAACAACGAAAGGACTATACAGTCTTCGTCTAGACTACCTTGAGCACAAAGACAATGTTCAGCTGAGAAACTCCTCGACAGCATTTAGAATTTAGTCGCCGATATTCTGTTAAAACTAGAAGAAGTATTCACTGCATTCATTCCGCATTATTACTCATTTTCTACTATTCATATTCACTAATCCTCCACACCCCACCTCTTTATTTGACCTGCTATTCCATTATTCGCTGTTCTACCCTTTGTCTGAACTTCACCGCTAATCTTTGTTATCTGCCTCAGACCGTATTTTTAGCCACCTCACAACTTTCCTCTATAATCAACAACATGTTTTGACCCAACGGTGCTCACCGACATAACAAATAGGTCACTATAATGGTTCTGACCTTTCACTCGTCTTTTGAAGGTCAAATGTTACAATAACGATATTAAACAATATGTACAAATTCCTGACGCCACGGGTAGATTACGTAACAGGAAATTATTTCTTCTCATGTGCGCATAGACTGAGATTCGGCAATTATATTCAGGAGCAATAACAAGATAATGAACGATTGATTAAAGCAACAAGATAGCAGGATCACTAAACGATGAGTCGGTAACAAGAAGGAAGGCACAATAGGTAAGCGACCTCACAAAATTAGGACAGCACCAAGAGTGACAGAGGGACTGAGGACACCGGCGTCGATGTTGGGTCATCGTTCTCGAACTTTTTGTAAGTACTGTAGCGGATGTGGGGCACGATCACCTTACATGGAATGTGGATGTTTTGAATGTTTCATGTGGTCTTCGTGAAGTTCACCGGGGGAGCGAACAATGGGTTGTCGTCATTAAAGGTCGAAGAAACTATGTACAAAGGGGGGTGATTGCATGAGTGACTGCGCGCTTTAACCCCGGTGGCGAATCCCACGTGATTTGTTGTAGAGTTATGCCACCTGGTGGTCGTCTCCTCTCCCTTTAAGCACAGAGCGCAACTTGGTGATCACCCATTTCTCGGTGCCGATGTTACAATGATATCGAACGGTATCAAAGGCAACGATCTACATTTGATCATTGTAGGTCCTGATAGGTCTTCCACGAGGCGCGCCCAAGAAGAACTCAGCTCCAACCTCCGTACCGTGAGCCCTATACGACACGTTAACAGCACAGTAGCCATAGACCAAAAGGAATAAAATAGGAACAAAGTCTTGCGGAAGTTGCTATAGTTACGAAATATTGGCAGACGATCTCAATGCACGCCCATCGACAGTCATTTTCTTATCACCAATTTCACACAGTCGCCTATTCTCGACTCGACTAACTATGCCATTCGAAGCTGTCGAATTGATACTCGTGCGACTAAAGCACGACTTTGAACAACTTCACCGCTCTGGCTTGGAATCCTACACGGTATACCAGTATCTCCTAACTTCACCCATCGCCAATGTAAAAATAGAAGAGATGCTGGAAAGGTCAAGACGGCTCAAGCAACGGTGACACGATTATTTGTCAACTAGCAGACCCCTGTGAACTTAACTTGGTCGGCCACAGGAACGTCCGCGTCTATCAGGACGCTCTCATAGTAATTCGAAGAGCTCTCAGCGCCGTCACAAAGATAGAAGTCCAGTCCGAGAGACTCAAGAACAATATTCGCCACCTCGAGAGAGCCTCAAGGATCGTCCTATGCACTGAAATCACGATCTCACGAGCGAACTCCGTCGTGCAAAAATGAGAAATCCACATCCAGACGCCCCGCCAATAAAGAGAGCGACGTTGACCAAACCTCGCTTAAGGTTCTTGTATAGCGATTCATGCAACATTAATTGCTATCTTCATAATCCACGTGGCAGGCGTACAAACACACATCAACCAACAGGGCATTCATTACTGTAACCGATATATCTTCTGTTGATTTTTTTCTTCTCTTACCTTTCCCTTTTCTTCGATAAGTTGCCATGAATTGTTCAAGCCATCTCACGCCATTCCAAGCCCCTTCCTTTGGCGGGGAAACTGTAGACAGCGTCAGAATGCGTTCTGATGCTGTCTACCTCTTCTCGAAAGTAGATTATCAGCTTGTAATCTCTGACCATGCATCTTCATCTTCTATGTTTCGCAAGTCTATAGTAAGCAACGAACACTTTGGATGTTTACCATAGGTGCTTGAACACTATTGTAACTAAACGACCCCCTTCCACACTTTTAGATTAGTCACGTAATCGAGTTTATTTTGATGAATGTACTTTGAGCGTGAGTTATTGATGGAAGTTTGATCTCTGATCTTGTCTGGTGCCTCCATCGTTCGCTTCGACATTATTTATCTCTGACCTAAACACCCTTTTTTATGAAATGTACATAATCGGTCAAAGATTAGTTCTTGGCTCTTCAATTTGCTCTTGGACTCCCTTCTTGCGCTTAGTATTCGCTTACCCATTATTCTGTTGTCTACGCCATTTGTAATCATCCTATATAACCCACTGCTATTGTTGTACTGTTATTATAAGATAAACGATGATCTGATAGGAGTTCGATATAGAAGTAACTAGTAGGAGTCCCTTGTGGCATAAGCAACTCCAAGAACTCAATATATTCATTGAACTAACTTTGCTAAAATAAACAAGTCCAGGACATCGCCTTTCGTTCGTTTCTAGCGATATCTTTGGAATGTGACAATAGGTAAGGTTGCTCAGAAATTATTCAAAATATGGAATTTTTTCAGGAAATATTATACTATATTTAGAAGAAAGGTCGACCTTGTCGATCGATCCCCCCTCCCCTCCCTCGCTCTCCCAGCTGTGTTGGATTATGAAATGGTACGAATAAGAATAATGCGGATTAGTGTGATAGTTGCACTTGAGTAGATGACAGTGAATAGATGAATATGTGATGAATATGGAATATTTGGATGGAATATTGCTATAGCAACTCATGCAACATTCATTGCTATTTTTATATTATCTTTCTATATGAGTGATAATATAATGAGGTTGATTGTTAAGGTAAACTTGGACGCGAGTGGCGGCGTTGCGCTACGGGAGGACTGGTGCGCAGTATGGACTGGAGTTTCGCAATCCATGGGCCGACGACGACGAGAGTCGAGCGCCTTCAACTGGTCTGTGCGGCCGCCGGGTTACCTTTCGTCTTCGTATTCGTTTCCTTCTCCCTTTAGCTTATCGATCACCTACGATTATTGTTTATGACTCGATGTGACCCAGTTCAGTTGCTGATTGCTGACTTTGTCCATAAGACGTTAATTATGTTCACCACCTTTTACTTGATGATTGATTGCTCGATGTTGCACTAGAGATTGTAATTGCAAACCCAGGTCACGGAGACGAGCCCAGTGGTGGGGGTCGTGGGCGACTCACCCCTAGGGATGGGTAACGGGCTCTTGGACGATCTCGAACATACAGTGTGAGACTTTATGACTTATGACGACTATGATACTCTCACATCGTCGAACGGCATACCGCCCTGGGGTGTCGTAATTCCGAGGCGACCACGATAGCTTCCCTGGTTCCCCCGTCTCCTGATTGACGTTTGCAAACCTTTTAA